CACCACCAGGTTGGTATCCGGAAAGGCGGCCTTCACGCTCTTCACGCCCTTCACGCCCTCCAGAAATCTGCAGGGCCTCACGTTGGCGTAGAGTTGGAAAATCTTCCGGAGGGCCTGGTTGGCCGAAGTGAAGCGTCGACCCCGCAGCTCCAGCAAGGGGGTCTTGGGGTCAATTTCGATCGGACCTTTCAGCACTGTGCCGAGGCGCTGGATGGCATCCAAGTGTTTCTCACTCACAGGGACGCCTGAAGCAGGTTCCAAAACTCATGTTGAGGGCTGGTTTTACTGCTGGAATCAGAAGCATGAAACCCTGTAGTATCGCCCCCTACCCTTATCTACCCTGGCTTAGATAAATCTTGTACATAGTGACACAACTTGTAAAGCCTTCAAACTTACAGCCAAACTTAAGCCCACCAATCCCCTGCCGTGAGTTCTCTCATAGCTCCGGCCATAGTCCATGGTCTCCACCTTCAATCGTACACCAGTGGCACGCAGGACCACTTGGGCAGCGGCCAGTAGCTCGGGCCCCACACCATCACCCGGGAGAAACAGCACGCGATGCGCCATTGGATACGGCCCTTTTGACCGGGGGAAGATGTCTTTTTCTGTGGTTTTTCCACAATTGTAGCGGGTCAAACCGGATCAGATTTGATTTGGAAAATCACAATCCAAAATGAGGAAAATGATGAAAACTGACAAAGTCTAAAGGTCTGGGTAAGCTTTTGCTAGTTTGAAAACTGATGAAAATTGCATCTCAACATTGCAAGCTCAGCTAAGGTGGCAAAATGTGATCGAATTGGACCACCTACTATTATGAAATAGCTCTTGGCACTAATTCTGGTACATCTTTGTGAAGCCAAAATGGTCAGCTGGTCAATCACCCGTCGCAGTCAACAGCTGAAATTTGACCATGTTCACCCAAAATCATCTCCCACAAATCCCTCGTCATGGTTGGCTTATTGAGACATGTATCTTTTGCGGTCATGTATCCCCTTTGCATTATCATATGTAATCACAACTATAAGGCAAACAATGGACAATACCAGTGACCACAACACATGTAACGGTAATAGTAATAGTAGGACTAGGAATAAGATTTGGAATATGATGATAATATCAACCATAGAAACCTGGCAACGGAAAAATCCCATTCCAAAATAGGTTCAGGAGGAATATCACTTCTGTTTCCATCAAATTCTATAAAAATGTGGGGGGTTTCCTGTGCCTTGGACTCTCAGAGGTACAACGGTACAACCCCAATCCTTGCAGGTGGGCTGCATGCCACGCCAGGCGGACTTTCAGCCGTAGCAGCTGTTCAGCACGTGCAGCCAATGGGCAGAAAGGCAGGGAACGTGCAGCTAAGAAGCTGCCAGGCACCTGCCACGAAATCCCCTGCTGGATTAGAGGCCTGGGCATAGGGTTTTCCAGTGCTGGGTTTGCCGGAGAGCAGTTGAGAGTGACAAACAATCGGAGACTGCGTGATCTTTGACCGCGCTGATGTCACATGCTCATCATTGGCATCGAGGTCAACAACACCGCTGGCCCGACCTCTTTCACGGGTGTTTCGCGGTGCCCACTTCTTGACCTCCATGGAAAGGGTTTTGCTGTTTAGCTCAACAGTCAGTGGGTTGGTATGGACTTGATCCATGTGGTCCTCCTGTTGTTTCTCTGCAGTTTCGTGCCAAGCCTTGGCCACTTGGCACAATGCCATCTAGCCCACGCCCAGCCCATACGAGCACGCACCACATGCTGCAGGCAACGGACAGCTGCAGTTTGAAGGCCTTGGAACCTCGCGTTCAAAGGACCGGAGGGACGCCTCTCTGAAGCTGCCTGGTAATCTAACCTAGCCAGGGGAAATCCCCAATTGATGTCCCTTTTGTGGACGCTTTTCCCGTTGAAATTTGGAATTTTCTATGGTCATGTCAAATGACCAGAGACAATGTGCTTGGGGAGGCCTTCATTTGCCCCAACCATCACATCTTGGCAACGGAAGTAAGGGATGAAAAACTGTCCCATCTCATCTGGGCCAATATACCAACTTGAAACACACCACCTTGGGCATGATCATATCCCTGCCTGACTGTTATTTTACCCTGGGGTCATGGTGATACAATTCAGCCAAATCATACCCCGAGCATTGCTGCTTTCGGGCTGCCTCTTGCGCACTGCAACTTCTTGGCCAAATGCCTCTCAGGTTTGTGACCATGAATGCTTGGGCATTGCCAACCCATCCGAAATAAATTATCTAACCACAATTTGGGATGATTTTTCCCCACACACCTTCCCAAATCCTCATCCCAAGTGTGAAAATCGGAAATGTTGTGCTTGAAACCAGGAACCACACATTCATTGTGTATTTGATGCCAACTTTCCTATCTGGCTTAGGAGACTTCTAAGATGATTTGGGAACTTCTTGGTGGTTCAGCACCTATTTGTGTGGTTCATTCAAAACCGATTACACCCAACCAGAATAAAGCTGTCCAACTCACAAAATTAAATTGCACAAAAAAACCATAAGATCAATTTCAAATCCCATCAAATCCCAAATCTCCACATACAATCCTTGGTTTACTTCGTTTGTTCCCCGTGTTTCCATTGGTTCTTCACCTCCCCGTGCACCGATGCACCTTCCATCGCTCCACCGCCGCGGACATCCTGACGCTCGCAAGGCGACCCAACACTGCGCCGGCGGCGCGGAAGCCACTGCTCCTCCGTCGAGGCACCAAACATGGGATCAACCGGGATCAACTATCGGATAACCGGGATCCAAATTTGTCCAACGATCCAAAAAGGAACCGCCTGGCTCTGGCGGCAGCTCCCTCAGCACAAGCCATCAGCTGCGTTGACACCGCGGCATCCTGCGGCGGAAACCAACGGAGGATTCCTATGGTTTTCCTTACAAGGCATAGAAACCTCAGAAACATCTCAAAAAAAAATGCGCAAAAAGTGGATATGACCACTACATCTCTCTATTGTTTTTCCTTTTTGATGATTGCTATTGATTGCTATACTCCAAAGGTGGTTGGCACTCAATGTCTCTAGCAATTTTGGCGGTTTTGAAGATCTCCCATTTTTCTGGCAAAAAACACATCTGAGTCTGAGTCCCAACTCTGGTTGCTGAAACTCTAAAATATGTTGGTCAAATGGGACTGGGATATACTGGGATACACCCTGATACTTGGGTGCCATTTTAAGGGCCCATCCAATTCGTCAGACCCAGTTGACTTGTGACATCTGGGGTTTCACACGTTGTGTTCCCAACCACTCCGGTGCGTCGCTCCTGATCTGCAATTGCCCGCAACTCTGCTCTGAAGTCATCCTGCTGCTGCCGCACGGCCAGCCAGGCCTGGTGAGAGTGTTTGCCATGACTACACGCCCAAGCCTATGATTAATCATGATCAGTCCACCATCATTGGAGTGATGGTCACTGTTTACTGCTGATCCCTCCACACAATCTCCCTTCCCTCTGATCGAAGCACCGCGGTGGCACGCCATTCTTGGAATCTTTGAGCTTTTCGGAGGTGGAAAACATGGCGAAGCACCTGCAAGCTAGAGGGCCTCAAAACATGCAAAGAGTTTGATTGAAGACTGCCACTTGGGTCAATGATGTTGATGTTTCGGAATGGCCGAACCTTTTTCACGCTCTGGAAATGTTAGAAACGCTGCCAAATTCCAGCATCAAAAACAACAACTGCGCAAACCCACCACAGCCTCAGCCAGTAAGTTACATGGAGACAGCACAAGCGTTTTTGTCACTGTGGCCTTACAGGCAGCATGAAAAACAGACAAAGCTGTGGCCAACCACAGTTGTGGCAGCATCCCCCTCTTCGTTGCCAATAAAGTTCTCGAAACTACGATGAGATACCTACTGCCACATCTATAGATATAGATATAGATATAGATATAGCTATAGATATAGATATACATATACATATACATATACATATACATGTACATGTACATGTACATGTACATGTACATATAGATAAAGATATAGATATAGATAGAGATGGATATCGATATACATATAGATATAAAAAGAAATACAAATATAGATACATTATGCACATATACATTAGGTACATACATACATACATACATATATATACATACATATATAACGTTTATATTGTTAGAATGTATGTATAATATATATATATGCCAGCATGTTTGGGCACGTCACTTGCCGCACAACTGCGCAGCGCCAGGTGCAGAAGCCATAGCTGCAGCGTTTCAGCAAAGGTTTTCGAAGAACCTGTGATGGTTTTGGGGCAGCCACGGCACAACGGGTATAGTCCCTTCCCCAAAACATCAAATATCCCTGAAAACTGCAACTCGGCATTGGATCTATTCATTTTGGAACCCCCTTTCGGACGTATTTGATATTAACGGAATGAAGATCTTCCTGAATTAAGGCAACGCAGCGAGCTTGGCACCCCAACCATTTCCAACAGCCGCGCTGCAGCTCGTGGTTGCAACATCCTCTCCAAAGAATTGCTGGAAACTCCAAGGTCATGTTCGGGCAATGGCGGAACTGCGACTTGACCTGCAGTTCTGCGCTTCTGTGAACGCTCCACAGAAGCATGAACTGTTTCAATTCCATAATGGCCCACGGCATCCCTTGTTTTACTTGCCAAGGAAAATTCCATGGCCCCAACAACAATGCGATTGGGGACATGTAATGGGTTCCATGATATGTGTACGGTTCTCTATCGTCATTTCATGGTTGAGTTGTCCATATGGTCAAATTTCAAAAAATAATTTGAATTTCCCCTTTCTTTTCCCACCTTAATGATTCCCCTGTCCGAATCCATACCCATTTGTCTCCAACAACAGTTCCAGGTGGCGGCGGCGAGCCCACAGCGCAGGCAGATCATCACCTGCCAGGGCACATTGATTTTTCAACTGTTTGAACTGGAAATAAACCATGTTCAATGTGTGATCATGCTTTCAAGTCATATTAACACGACATGTTCAAAACATAAACATATGAATTAAAAATTTTCCCACTTGGTGGAACTATTTCTGCAACCGGTAACGAACCACATATGTTGGCGAAATGTCAAAACCGCTCTGGGTGAACTCGTTGTGAGGTCCATGTGAACCAGAGTTAAATTCCGGGTGTTCCGTCCATTTCCTGCAACAAAAAATGCTGAAACCCACGCCTGTGTCAACTGCGCGCTGGATTTTCGGAGTCCCAGCATCAATCATTGCACTTTGCCACCATTCTATCCTTCACAACTGGCACGGAGTCTGGCACAATTTTGTCCGTCGGGGGCAACAAAACTTGCAACAAAGACAAGAGCCGCCTGCCTTGGCACCAACCCATGATGGACCACAGGGACTGGCAAGTCGAAATCGGCATGGGTGATGAGTTTGTTTAAGCATCCGAGCCTTGTTTCAGTATCAACACCTGCCATTTTCAATGTCAAAACATTTTTTTTGTTTATTCGTGCGTCCCTCAGAACGCAAAGTTTCTTGCAGATTCATTTTCGTGTTGTTTTTACTACTGTATGTGACGTTACGTTTTGCCCGTTTTGTTTTAAATTCGCAGTTTTTTTTGGGCCAGCCTGTTCCCAAAACGCTGCAGGATGAACTCTGCTGTTCCGGTTCCGCTCTGGAACACTTGTTGGCTGCTAACTTGTTATTGGACAAAACGGCTGATGGATCATAAACTTGGATTTGTCGAAGGCGTCTGATAAAGTCAAATGGAATGTTTTGTGGGAAATTTTGGCTACTGACGGTGTTTCCAATCATTTGCGTTGAATTTTTCACATGTTGTATCACAACCAATCTGGCGATGTATTGGGCGATTGGGGGTGGAGCAGGAATCTCTGCAAGTCTCTGTCTGCGTCAATTTAAGCGTGCGACAAGGAGGCATGTTAAGCGGACGGCTGCTGCGTTCAGTCTTGCAGCTAACAACGCGAAAATGGAACTTTGCACGTTGGACATGCAAATTTGGATTTGAGGGCTGGGTTGCCCGCTTTGGTTGACTTGCGTTTTGCGGACAACACTTTGCTTTTCGCAAGGTCCAATTCGGAGGCATCAACTTTTGTAGGTTATCCCACAGGTTGTCTTGCAGAAGCGGGCGTTTTTGTAAATCACGTGCCGAAGCTTGTTTTGACGGGTGTAAGCCAACCGCTCATGAAGTGTTGTATGCATGGAAAGGCTGGTGTTTCAAAATTTGGTAACGGGTGTCGCTCACGAATTATTAACTTGCATGCCTACAACGCGAGGGTCAAGCAATCACAGTCTTGGTTTGCAATACCAGATGGCCCAAGCATCGAAGACGTATCATGCAAACCCTTGGATACTACAAAATTGGCAACTGTCCATCACACATCGTCTTCGTTTATTCCAATCTGCTGTCGATCCCGCTCTTTGTTATGGCCGTCGCCAACGTACAATCCATAAACCAGACTTGGGAACAATTTCCACTGAACGCCGCAAATTGGTACGGCGTATTGTTTCCCCACGCGGTCACATTGATTGGTCAGCACAATGGCCCATAGTCCGTTATGAGTGACATGCATTCGCCGAGGCATGCATGGAAGCAACTATCAAAAGGTACTCCAATGGTGAGAACAATGAGCGTTTTTGTGGATATGTTGCAAAACTACCGTTGGATCGTTGGGCAATTCGCGCTGAAACACCGTGCGCTGGCAAATTGATATCATATTTTGTTATCAATTCTTCGTTCGTGGCGAGGTGTTGCGTTGGATGACGGCTTCTCAGCCAATCATGAAACGAATTTTTTGTTGACTTTGCTTACGATGGCCTGACCTGGTTGTAATCTGGCTAAAGAAGAATAAACCATCCCCAAAATCACCATCAATAGGTGGTACAAACTATTCCCAAATGGGTTGTTTATTTTGTTTTAACCACATTAGTTTCTTTGTCTGTGCCCTCAATGGGTCACCCACTAGGTGGGCATGCAGGTCTCACTCACTCACCGTTGTGCACGTGGCGTAGTTGGTTCGGGTGGGACGATTTCGGCGCGTAAGTCATTCGCCTGCGATCACGGAGGTAACTGATGCGTCAGTTCTTGAAGGAACCACCAACACTTTCGTGATGCTACGGTCCCAATTTATGAGCACATTTTTCAAGACATTCATTTGGCTATGCTCCTGAATTTTTCATGCACCTGCGAACATCCTCGTGAAACCACACCCACTTTTTCCATGCTAATGTCAACGCTCCAGCGTATTACGCATGTAATGCCAACCTCAACAAATTGCAGATTATTAATTAGGGCCGTACTCCTCCAATAATAATAGTCAAATACTTAAAAGGGCACCCTCCCAATTAAACAGTTGGTGTTTATTCAGCCAAAAATTGCAGCACCGTCTTGCTCCCGAGATTCACTGGGCAGAAACCGTTACAAAATGACAATAATAAAGTCATATTAAAAACAGCGCGAACTAATGAACACCCACACGCACAAATAGCTGGTCCCGTCGCGTCTTATCAACACACATCTGCAATTTCCTTTTTGCGAACCTGGCGTGTTTTTTGCCAAAGCGGCTGCGGTCTGCAGCAACCCAACATGCTTTGCATGCCATGTTACACTTCTTGATTCGTGCAGTCATCCTTGCACATGGGCCATGCTGTGAGTCATATGTTTGATGTTTCTCACTCCTCCTTGGGTCATTGAGCTATTGTTGCTCACTGATCCATTTTGAAACTTGCATGGCCAAAAAAAATGAAATTCCTAACCTATGATGTTAGGTCACGGAAGTGCCAATTGTAGGTTTTCTACGTTGGCAATCTGAACTCTCAGGTTTGCTGCTTCATCTTCGTCTCCAACCAACTGCGCTCTTTCTTCTCTTTCTTTTAACTCCCTCAAGTGCTTCTCCATGCGATCTACCTCCTCCTGCAAGCTTTCCGCAACAGCTTCTGAAGGTTGCGGTTCTCTCCCATGTGGCTCCTCATCTTGATTACGTGAACCTGTCGCCCGAGGCCTTGGCAGAGGAGCCCGTTTTGGTTTGCCAGTGGGCCATATTCAGTTGGTGGGTCAAACACAGGAATTTCCTCCTCTGCTGACTCGGGATTTCCCCTTCTCGGTGGTGTGTCATGGCGGCTCGTTGACCCTCGATCTCCTGCTTCTCCATCACGCATTCGTGCATCATCATCTGCGTTTTCCATGTTTTGGAAGGTCAAGGATCGAAGTTTTTGTTCATCAAGAGGTTTTCCTGCTACCATAATTTGATTTCCATCATACGTCGCGCACACGTACTTGTCAATTCATGTTACACCACATCTATCACTCAGTATTTCCTAATTGTTGTCCGCATTTTTTTAATCATACTATCATACCTCTTCATTGCACATGGAAGAAACGGATAACACATGAAAAATCGGAAGGACGAACCATAAACAAAAGCAGTTGATAAATCTAAAATTGGATCAAAATAACCGCGTCATGCAAGAATCATGACAACAAATTAAAAAACAACACAAAAACAGGAAAAACAAAATAACAAACCTGAAGTTGAAGAATACCACATGACAGATTAAAAGAACAATTACAAACGTGCTGCAAGAATAGGAGTTTCAAGCCTAGCACTAGACAAATCAAAGAAAATACCAGTTTACAAGCGACGCAAAAACCAGCGTCACAGTGGCGTCACCAACGAGACCTCGACATTGAGCACCAAGCTTTGCGGCGTACACGTATCACGCATGCAAATTGTATGCAGCGAGTCTTTTTAATTTTGGCGGTTCTGCATAAACGACGTGTTGGACTGGCATGTTGTTGCGCTGTACTTGTTGAATTCTGTTTCTTTTGATGCATTCGCCAAGTTTCGTAGTATGAAAGTATCGAGCATACAAATTGTATGTATGGAACCCTCTTGATTGATGGTTTTTGATGGAGAGCCGGCGTTAACGTGCCATGTTTCCGCTGTGTTTCTCGAATTCTCTGTTGTTCCTCGTGCGCCGTGAAGGTATCAAACATAAAAGTGTATGCGGGTAGAGAGTATGCATGAAACTACTCTGTTGCTCTTGTGTTTATTCAGTTTTGCCTTCACCAAATTTGGCATGAAGTATCCCGCATAGATACAAACATATAATATATACAGACTATATGTAGCGAGTGGCCTTGATTGGTATGTGTTGGACTGCCATGTTAGCATTGTGTTTGCTTATTTTTGTTTTGTTTGATGCCTTCACCAGGTTTGGCGGCGCGGGAAATGATGGGTCCAATTGTGGGATATTTCACACGTCGGTAGAGAGGTGTGAGAGGTGTGAGAGGTGTGAGAAGTGTGAGGTAAAGATTTCACATGTACTAGCGAACCTCTAGTTTTCGTGTGCCCAGGATTGTGGTTCATCAACATAACAGTTTGTTTGTTTTTGTTGTGTCAATTCAGTACCTTTAAGGTCAACGAGTTTGTGTCTTGATAGGCAAGTTTGACACTCTGAATTTGTCCTACATCAAGTAAAATTTCCAACAAAACAAAAATTGTTCACATTTCAAATAAATTGTTGTTGCGAATTCTTGTTGGCAAAAAAAATGTTCACGGAAAAAACAATTCCCCAAAAGCGGGGAACGGGTCACCATACGGGGTTCGTGTTTGCATAAGGGAAAGTACCCGCCGCTTGCTAGGCATGCATCATGTTTGTTTTCTAACACCGCAACTTTTGAATCATGATGCACCTTGTTGCATTGTCTGAGCATCTCGCATCTTCGGATCTTGAATCCGTACAGTACTTCATATAGCATGTTTGATTTTCCCGGGTTATTTCGCACGTCGTTGGGGGTGCCAAGGGGCCTTCGGCATGGAGATTTCACGTCTGGCAAAACCGCTGCCCCGAATACAATTGCTAAGGCAAACTAAATGCGCCTTGGCATCGAAATGATTCAAAATGCACATCGCCGAGTTTAGTTTATCATCTGCAAAATGATCGTTTGTATTTTTGGCAAGGACTTGTTTGCGTCCGCACTGTTGTTTCGCCGCGTGTGTTTCTACCTTCCCGCATGTCCGATGGGTGAAATGATTGTCGCGTTGGAATGTGTCTGGGTGCGAGTTTTTGGGAGATCGCTTGACATGCGAAATTTGGTTTGATGTTTATTGTCGCTAGGCCTTTGGCTTGGTGCAGGACTCTGATCGTTTGTGTGTTTTGTTTGAAATTTGGGGTTTCTACTGATTTTTTCCCGCGGAGGGTTGAACAATCAATGTATACGTTTTTTGATTTCACACTAAACGATGTCCATGGGATTTTTTTTCAAACAGTGTTTCACACCCCATGTGTTTGCCATGGGCCAAAGTGGACTTGACACCCAAGTTCTACCGCTAGACTCGTGGTGCCGTGCGTTCAATACTCGGATTTTTTGTTCCATTCTGTGTTTGGGTTCAAGTTGTTTAAATTTGCACAACTGTTTGTGTCCGCCACATCAATAATAGCACCTCCGCGCACTGAACAAACATTAGCAAAAATCATGGTGTGGGGCCGGAAATACAAATCGTAGGTACAGCTGTGATGTCACGTGTTCCACTTCTGGAATGGGGGAATCTAAATTTTGGCAACTGCAGCGCCAACCTCACTATAGGTTATTTTGAGGGAAAAAACGCGCGGACGAAATATCGCACCATTCAAGGGTTGGAAACATCAACCGCCCTTTTTGCAACAAAACCTGGTGCTGTGCAAAGAGCTACTAATTTGCCACATGAACGCCCTCCCTAGAATTTAAAGAACGAAAATCGATTTTAAAAAATCGGGGTAAAGTGCCAAATGCATCCAAATTCGGTCTATACATCGACATGTTCCATGGTTTGCAACACCTTTGCCCATCTTGAAGTCGTTGCAAGAGTGCAAACTTTTCTGGAACCAAAAAGTGCCTGACGATACTCAATGAGTGACACTTCTCGATTTGTGCTGTCAATGCAAATGACTGACATCAACTGCACTGTTTCTGCAGGGTTTGCACGTGCGTAAATATACAACACCCCGCCTTGGTATAAGCGTTTGCCTTATATCACTACTATTTACTCCTCAGGACTCTGCCAAGTCCATGCTGTGCATCCTATTGGAATTATGTGCTGTGAAAAGTTGCGCTACAGCAGTTGTCCAGCTGTTGTTTCTGAATCAACTACTGATTTCATTGGCGCAAGCCACGCTCAGAAAGTCTTCACCACTGCCAGAAGGTCCATAGTGCAAATCAGCCCAGAAGTCAGGGTCTGAGACTTCACCCATATCATCTTCCATGTACCTTCTCCTGCGCTCGCTTTCTGTCTCACCTGCTCCATCCATGCTGTCGTCATCATCGTTGTCGTCGTCCTCACCATCCATCGGTGCAGGCTCTGGTGCTCGAAGAGCTTCACCAAATGACCTCAGCAGGTCACAACCAGACTCCCACCTGTCATATTCCAGGAGTCCCATCAAATGACCATAAGCTACGGTGGGTGTCCATGGCAAGGCAACTCATCATCTGAACTCAGCTCATAGCCTCCGCTGAGTGACTCCAGCATCCTGGCTCTTTCGAAGCTTGAGCCAGGCAGATGGCCAGAAAGCCACGTAGCCATCTTTTCCCTTGGGCATACTTGAAAGTCTTCCCAACGTTCGAATCCCTTTGTGCGCTCTTCCATCATGACGTTCCAACACCCTTTTCAGAGTGAGTGTTACCAGTCCTTCCAAGGCTGGCTGTGTGTCCTCTGTTGTTTGCGGTTCAGTTGGAGTTTCTCCACGTAGTTCATGTTATGCCATGGGCTGGCTCGGAGCATCCACCAGCTGTGGAGCATGCAAAGTAAGGTCCATGTGCAAAGGACCAAGCGGGGCACACTCAATGTAAAGCCGCCTGCATCACCAGGAGATCCACTGTCACATCCTGCCAGAATTGTGGCAGCAGGTGCAGCCTGTCACAAGTTCACCTGGGGGGCTATGAGCAGCATTTGAAGAATCCTCATCTGAAGGCGAATCATCCACAAGATGAAGCATACTGTGCTGGCATTCTCGTACTCCTCAGGAGGCGCATGGTGCGGGTAGGTCAACATCTCCTGCAAAATGGATTTCCTTTGTTGATATTTGTCGCCCCTCTGTGGATCCTGATTGGCAGCTGCAGGAAGTTCATGACGTGTGCACCTCCCATACAGCCAGTGAACCAGCGCCTCAGGTGAGAAAGCTGGGGGCTCAGCAATATCATTCTCACCATCATCGCTCGTGGCTTCGCCACCTAAAGTTGACTCCACACTGGTCGTTCCATCAGTGTCTTCGTCCACGGTCTCAAAACTCAAGAAGCCTTTCCAAGGCCGATGTTCAAGAGCAGCCATATCACCACCACTTTGGCAGCAAATTGCGTCTCAGCTGGCACGGCATCCATTGCTGATCGCAATACAGAGTTATACCCGTTGCTGCAGATGAATCCAGATACAAAAGCACATCAACATGTGACACTGAAGAAGCCGTGCGAAGATGCTCTGAATAAGGATGGCATCCATCACGGCTGAAGCAGCATTTTTTTTGCTCGGACGGCCATTTATGCTCTGAAGCACGGTCCTGTGACCATCACGGCTGAAGCAGCAGCATATGTTTCAGACTCTGCACTCGATAGGATACTGAGTTCGAGAAGAGGAGTAGACCACACATGTCCCAAAGAGAATGTCACTTCCAGAAACAGATCGGCACGTTTGCCTGTCTGCTGCAATCTGCATTACTGAATATCTCTGATGGGATCTTCCACCTGGTAGTCTTTGAAGACACAGAGTGAATTTCTTTCCGCTTCAACGAAATGCATTGATCTGGAGCTGCCATGTCCAACCAAATGACGCAAGACAATCATTGTCTTTTCAGTTGGTTTCGAAGAGAAAGTGCACAGATACCTGATCACGCACTGGCACTGCGGCAAATCACCCGAGAGGTAAAGAAAAATACCTACACATAACCTGAAGACTGAAGCGTCATGTGCAGAAAGTTCCTGCTGTCATCTGGGTTCTCAATCTCGGAGTAACCTGGTGTCTTTTTCACTGAAGCTTCTGAGACTTATGGAGAAGTCCGCATAGCTGACCCAAGTGCTTGTGGTGACACTTGATCAGCATTCTGCCATCATCCATCAAGCAGTGAGAGCGCTTCAAGAAACCAACTTTGTCCACGCCTTTGCTCATCGTCTTCTCCGAGATGCTGTACAAGGGAGGCCCCGACTCCGTCTCCACAAATCATATCAATTTCAGGTGCCAAAAACGAACCCAAGACTAGCCCCCTGTACCTCCTTGTCTTGGTCACAATCTTTCCTTTTCTGTTCTGTTAATGAAAGAGGTCCTGTGTTTCCAAAGCCTGCAATCGAGGCGCTTCGAGGCTCGGCGAGGCCTGGCCGAGGCCACGCCTCGGACTCAAAACGTATTGGCACAAGGACAAAGCGAGGCTTACGGGGACTCGAAACTATATAAAAATATTGTTGAAGTCCCAGCAAGATTGAACTTGAAGTAGTTGGCAACTGTGCTGCCTTGCTAGAATTTTAGGCCGCAGCTGGCGCAGAGGGACGGTCTCAAGGCAAGCCTCGAGGCTTCAGGTTGATGGAAATTGCTGCAAAACAAAAAGTTTATAAGATGAAACAAAGTTGAAGGCAGGCCTCAATGCACGTCTCGAACTCCAGTGTCGCGAGACCATGAAAATTAGAACAAACCCCGAGGCAGGCTTCGAGGCAGGCCTCGAAGGCCTCAAGCCTATGGAAATTGACGCAAAACAATATGACAAAGAAGGGACCCTGTTTTGGTCCTCAAAACGTACGAAAAAGCAGGCGCGCAAAAATATGGGCCTCCCCAGTTCAAGCTTCCACTCGCAGCTGTTGCTGGTCAAATCAGCTTCCACTTGAAATAAACGCTTCAACAGACCACAATGAAGGGGCCAAAACTGGACCCTCCAGGGGGCACCACTTTTGGTTTCAAGGGGGTCCACTTTCTGACCCCTTTTTAACACGTTTCCTTTGCACGGGTCCAAAACTAGACCCTCAACAGATTGAATCCGGTGCCTCCTTGGAGGTCCGGTTTTAAGCCTACCCAAGCACCTTCTTCACCTGCGCTGTTCCAATGTAGAACGCATCAAACCAACACCGAATTGCAGAGGAAGCCCGCACCTGCGAAGCCTGATTTCAATTAACTTTGCTGTTGGCTGTGTGCAGCGTGCTCCCAACGTAAACCGCAGAACGAGTTCAGTGTCTGGCAATCCACGAGACGGGACCGACCACACGGCCACCTAATCTGCAACGCGTGTCACGCAGTGCATGTCGCATGTCGGTTTGCTCGTGCAGCAAACAAACGATTACTGTACAAGAAACAAAGTGGGACGCAGAGAGAGAAAAAGCATGTATTAACACTTACGCTCATGCTAGTGCGTCGCAAATCTGCTTGCAAAACCTCTGCGGGCAGCAGCAAAATTCTCCGATGGCTGACCCCACTTTTGGGTCCAAATCTGGACCCCAAAACGGGGCCCAAGCAAAGACCTAAAAGAAGGAATGAAAATGTGATCCAATTCTGGACCCCATTTTGGGGTCCATATTTGGACCCAAAAATGGGGTCAGCCATCGGAGAATTTCGCTGCTGCCCGCACATGTTGTGCAAGCAGATTTGCGACCCTGCAGCTTGAACATGAATGTCAACTCATACCTTTTTCTCTTTGTGCGGCCCAAGTCCGGTTGCTACTGTCAAGGTCCCTTTATCGCAGCCATGTTTTGACCACTTTTTTGGGCCCTGTTTTAGGGGCCATGATGAAGCAGGTTTGTTGGCATTCGAGGCGCTCCAAGGCTTACCGAGGCCTGCCCGAGGCACGAGGACAAAGCGAGGCTCACGGGGACTCGAATCTATATACTATGGGGGTACGCCCATGCGTCACCGCAAAACTGCCTGTTTTGGGGCCCTGGTTTTGGAACCTCATTTTGCTCAATCTTGCGGCCGCTTCTTGCTACTTACATGGGGGAAGGTTTTGGCAGCAGCAGGTTCCGAGTCCTTCATGGTGGAGAAATCTATTGCAGGTTCTGGTGCGCGAGCTGAACCACTTCAAGCAGCAGCGCAAAGCGTTGCGACAGGCATCTCAACTGTGTTGCTTTGGCTTGCAAATGCAATTCGTCACTGTTTTCTGATGTTGGCCCTCTTGAGACCATCGCGGAGAACAAGACAGAACAGAAATCGGCAGCAAAGCGCCGCCAGCGGTTGCTAAAAGCACCCCAGCAGCCGCCAAGCTAGGATGTGCGTTTTCCCACAGCACGGAGCGTATAGTTGATGAACTTGGACTACTATACCCTGAAAACCGTGGAAATTTGCGGAAAAACATGGCCAGCGTATAGCGTATAGTTGGTTCAATTCGATAAAAAAAACCTTACTAAAAAAAATCTTTCTTAGAATGTGAGCTGACCGGCCAAAATGGATCTCACGCCACAGCGCGGAGCGTTTAGTAGGGTACTAAACCGTCTGGCCCGCAACACCAAAATTGTGTTCTCGCCACAGCGCGGTGGGTTTAGTTGGGCTCTTTGTTTGCACGATTATTTTAGAGATTCAATTTTTTGCGTGACGGGCGCAGCACTTGAGAACCCCGTACGGCCATCTGAAAGGTTGAAGCGCGGCTGGATACTTTTATTTGACGCCTCCACATGGAGCAGTGGAAAGGTGGAAGCCGATGGTGCCAAGCACACACTGCCCTGTGGGTAGATCTCCTTCATTGGGGCCCAGATGAAAGATTTCCCTCATTTGCAGAGGAAACCAACAAAGCTATATTTAGTTGCTTGCCCCGTCCATGGAACAAAGCTGAAAAAATTGCAGTAGTGAACTCTTTCTCATCAATGTGGTTGGAAATCAACAGCGCTCTTGCAGCAGAAGGACAGCGCCCATCACAGTGGCAAGCCCAACCTGAAGCCTCCACCAAGAAAGATAAACGCGATCTTTGACCCTCAGCTATGATTGCTGTAGCTCCCCTTTTTTCTTCACTGGAAGATTGGACTATCTACACACACACCGAAAGCCGGTGTGACGCTCGGAGATTTACAGATGCTTCAAAAGCGGCTTGTGGTGTTCAGATTTACAGATCCTGTGGAGAATCCCGACATCGGCATTCCTGCAAAGGGGAATCGTCGATGTTTGCGCTTCCAGACTCCAGATTTGCAGTTGCAAATCCAAGATGAGGATTTGACGCATGTTTAAATCCCCGCGCCCCATCTTCAATGTTGGACGGAGGCTTAAATGTTGCAGTTTCACCTTTTGAACTGATAGCTATCAAAAAGAAATTTTGCCTGAGGTCACATCCTCAAATTGGAATTCACTTCTTAGTTGCAATAGCATCAACACACCCTCAACATTGACAATGGGGTCGCAGGGGTTCAGTTTGTGGTTGGCCCTTGTGGGGGCCATGCAAGGAAAGATGGCCGTACAGGGTTCTCAAGGGCTGCGCCTGCCACGCTTCAATGTTTAAGATGGCCATACTGGGTTCTCAAGCGCCTGCCGCGCGTCAACCTTTAAGATGGTCGTACTGTGTTCTCAAGCGCTGCACCTGCCGCACTTCAACCTTTACGATGGCCGCACGGAGTTCTCAAGCGCTGCACCTGCCGCGCTTCAACTTTGAAGATGGCCGTTCAGGGTTCTCAAGCGCTGCGCCTGCCGCGCTTCAACCTTTAAGATGGCCGTACGGGGTTCTCAAGTGCTGCGCCCGTCACGCAAACAAATGGAATTTGTAGAATAATCGTACAAACAAAGAGCCCAACTAAACCCACCGCGCTGTGGCGAGAACACAATTTTGGTGTTGCGGGCCAGACGGTTTAGTACCCTACTAAACGCTCCGCGCTGTGGCGTGAGATCCATTTTGGCCGGTCGGCTTACATTCTAAGAAAGATTTTTTTAGTAAGGTCTTTTTATCGAATTGAACCAACTATACGCTATACGCTGGCCATGTTTTTCCGCAAATTTCCACGGTTTTCAGGGTATAGTAGTCCAAGTTCATCAACTATACGCTCCGCGCTGTGGGAAAACGCACATCCTAGCTTGGCGGCGGTGCCTGCCACATGTTGACGTCCTCAAAGGCGGTTTCTTCCACAGTAGCTCCTGCCATGCGTGCCTCGGGCAGGCCTCGGTAAGCCTTGGATTTTTTTTTCCGTCCGACGCCTTCGTGGCTTCCGCCAGGTCGTTCAACATGTTTAAGAGCATGTTGCAGTTGGGATTAATTGTTAATTAATTCACGCAAAGGCCGTTGCTGTAGTGGCCGCAAAAGTAAACTGGTGGAGGACCGATACATAGTCCTAAGCACTGTCACGCTCATCCAGGAAACAAGGCAAGACACCACAAAAACAAAAGAA